CTCAGCCCTAGGAACTTCCCAAACGGTGCGTACCATGCCTGGGACAGGAATGGAGAAGCAGCCTAGTGCGTCCCAACTGCGAGGATGTTTTCACCGAAGCGCCCTCTATCGGCAACTTTGAGAGCGGCCCACGTCTGTCTGTGAACTAGATACCCAAGAACAGGTGTTTGGGTGCAGATGATGTACACCATTGCGCGTCTCTTTGCAATTTTAAATTCTTCAAGAGGAGAAATTGCGCAGGGTTTCTAGGACCACAGTCATGTGATTAATGAAAGTATGTAGTCTGGGTATCCAAAATGGTCACTTTTGAGTATGGCATCAGTCATCTGTAAGTTTGCCTGTGGCTTGTTCAGTTCCTGTTATCATCTACCTATAAGTTAAGGACCTATGAGCATAGAAGATGCCTCAATACACAGTGAATCTTATTAGTTGTCCACCTCTCCACGGCTGCCTCTAGATACAGACAACAGAGGTGGAGGGGTATGTGTGCATGAGGCAAACCAGTGGCAATAGCTTCTGAACCCAGATTTTAATAGGGAAACCTGGCCCAGACACACTAGGCTCTTAGCCAGTCGTCTCATCTACCATGACCTCGGAATTGTAGACTATTCTTGAGGGCCCGCAGCACCTCATCGTTTGACTGTGCCATGAACCATGAACTCAGCTGAGGGACACGACCTTCTTTCTCCCCAGTCTGTGGAATCCTGGGGAGGTTGGCCATCCTTGCCTCTATTCACTTTGGCCATGATGTAAACAGACACTAGCATTTGCCTCCTTCCTTTTTCCACACCCCGAATTCATTTCCTCTTACCTGGGATTTCGATGTCTATATTCCCTCTGTGTGATAGATGCACACAGAGACACAAGGAGGGGGGAGGAACTGTTAAAATTCCCCAAAATGTTTTGACACTAGTTTTCAGTGTTGCAATTGGGACTAGTCAGTTTCTAGTTTGGGTTTCCATCAGAAAGTTCTGTAGGAGTAGAGTATATAAGCTCGAGGAACAACAGCAGCTGCAGAAGGAACAGTGGTCGAGGCACACCAGACCAGGCAGCCTATAGCCAAGCAAGGTGAGTACTCCCCTATCCCCTGCCACTAATTCCCCGAGCCTAAAGGCTGTCCAGGTACAGACTCCAGTGGTTATGCTACCCCTGAACCAGGCAGCATGGGAGTGGGGGGTAAGAGGGTCTGGAAAACATCACTGATGGCTCACCTGCTGGTGAAAACTAGGTACTCTGAGGAAAGAGGTTTCAAATATTTATTTAAACAGTCAGCTAATTACAGAGGTGATGGTGCACACCCATAATCCCCAAATTTGGGAGGTGAGGGCAGAATGAACAAATTTGGGGGTTTAAGGCCAGCTTCAACTACGCGATAAGTTTGAGACCCTGTCTCAAAAAAAAAAAAAAAGAACTATTAAACTATCAATAATGTGTGTTGGACCCTGTAAACAGATGTCTATCTGACAGACAGGTCTGCTTTGTCTATATAGACACATACACACATGTGTGTGTTCTTACATGCCTGCCCCTTATAGAGTGTAGTTAAGTTCTGTTCTTGCTCCTAAAAGCCTATCCTGCACTCCTTACAGTTACTGAACTCATAACTGAATGTCACTTGCTTCCCTCCCTCTGATAGATAGCCAGCTGTGATAATCAAACTGACTGGCTGGGTTCTGTGATTCTTGTGGGTTTTCAACTAACTTTGCTACCTCTTCGAAACGGAAAAGTCTCAGTGGTGTTCAAAACGCCTTCCTAAAGAGTTCTAAAATCTGGGAGAAAAGGGACAAAAGCCCGTCTTCACGAGCTGCTTTCTTCTGCTTGCCCAGGTAAAGTCAGGGCCACCAGAGAGGTCAGACTGACATCACGTTTTTACACAATGACCACTAAGCCTCAGCTGGTGGCTCGATGTGTTCAAGCAGTGTTTCAAGATGAGGTTAGGTTGCCTCCAAGGTTCATTCTGCTAAAATCCGAAATGGTGTGATTATTGCACCAATTATCCATGGACTCCCTCTAGTCTGGGTATAAGGCAAGACAGATGTGAGTTCTGCCATCAGACCTCAGTATGGGGAGAATAGACATTAAAGATGTAACCAAATTATTGTCATTGCAGTAAGTGCTGAGCGGGGAGAAGACTAGGTATTTGGGGTCCTGGTTTCATTTGGTCATCAAGCTGGCACTTTCTACGGATTGTTTCATGAACTCCTCTTCTGACAGGGTTCCTATTGCACAGTCTAGAAGTATTAAGGTTTGAAGAAGTCAGTACAACTTGTCAGGGTCACTTAACTAACAAGGGACAGAGAGAGGTCTGCCTGGCTTTGGAACCATGGCCCTTTGCCCCTGCCACTCAAGCCATCTGTACTGTGTCATGTTTTTTCTGAGCATTCTTACTTTTAAAAACTATTTCTCTTTTTGAATTAAAAGAGTGACAGAATGAAACTTGCAAAAGGGAATGTCCATTCAGGTGCCCTGTGCCCAGATTGCCAGCAATGTTTAGGAGCATTTGCATACTCTAGGAAGCGGGACTGTCTAACCCAGGGTTCCTGTGTCCTTTGTACAAAAATTTTAGGAGTTTAGAAAACTAACGAAATGACATTAAAACAAGCAAACTAAAACCACTGAATCACTGAAATTTATGGTGTCAAAGAATTGTGGAGTGAGAGAGATACAGTGCCCCAGCGTCTGCTGCTCAGCCAGAAAGACAAAGCTTGGCCACCATCCTGCACCCCTTTTGCCTGTGTGGGTTTGACTAAGAGGCAACACACCCACCATCTCTCCCCTCCTCTGGGATTCTATGATCTAAGATGTAGGTGATGCTGGGATGAGGACTGTTTCTTGAACCATTGCCAAGGCTCCCTTCGACCTGAAATATGGTCCACGTGTGATGTTCAAATGCATCTGAGGCCCACAGAGGAAAGGTTTGGCACATAGCCAAAGGGGGAAATCCCTGTGCTGAGAGCATATGAAGAGATCACCAGGAGATGCCAGGAATCTCTGCCTTTTTCCCTTACCAGAGTGCTGCCATCTGGGTTTTACAGCCATGTATAATTGTATCACCTTCCCTGGGCATCTCTCTACAGGCTGGCAGATTTTCATTTTTAAACTCTCTGTATTCAAAGCAGAAAAATATTTCCCCAGTTCTTCTGCTAGTGCAAGGTAACAAGATATCAGTTGCCTACTATACTATACCATTTTACTGCACACACCTCTGGCCCTTTAAGGCCACATAACCCTTTACTGTGTCCTTTGATAGGTAAAGAGAGTAGGGCTCAGAGGAACAAGACTGGCACCACACAGCTACTGAGTAGTCAAGCCCATGTCTGCTTGACTCCAAGCCTGTGCATGTACCAACCAGTGCCCCTTTCAGCTAGTGCTTGGCTGTATGAACCTGGCTTCTGGCCCTGTTTCTATCATTGATGATTATCTGTAAAGAAAGAGAGAATGTAGCAAGGTCCACAAAGGTTAGCAGTAGTTCTGACAAAGCCATGATCTTGAACCAAAGCATGCTCATGTTTAAAGTATTTGCCTGGAATAGTTAAGCCTTAATTCGTATGGATTAGACCTGTGGTCTCTCAAAACTTGTCCCTGCCAGATGGTAGCATCCTCTAAGATAGAGGGAGGTGTTTCCAAAGGGAATTAATTAGACACTAATTATCTCAACCACATTTATGAGTGAGGTATAAACTTCACAGTTGAAAGACTTCTGTTAACCCTGGGTGTTAATCTAGACTGGGTTCCAATAGAAGATGGTGGCTGATTTATCTACTTCAATATTCCATGGTGGGCCCATCAATATGTTATGGTCTTCTGCCAAAAAACATCTTGATTTGTAGGAGTTTTGAACTTAAACACTGGCTAACACGTTTGCCTTATAATGTGTTCCATGGACCAGAAGCCTCAGCTTCTGAAACCTTCAAGACATGTTAAATCAGATTCTCTGGGTTGAGACTCACTAGTCTTAGTAAGGCTGGGTTATACCATACACTCGAGCTTACAAAATGCTGAGTTTTATTATGAGGGAGAGAGCTATTTTAGAATTTGGAGTGATTTCTGCCTAGGTTTAAGAAGCCTAAGTCACTACAGGTTCTTGCCAGAACTTGAAAGTTTACCCATGCATTGCCTTTCCCATGCCTAACCTGGTCCTTTTGCCTAGGGCATCCCAGTGCATTCCAAACACTGGGCAGTGATACAGCTGCTTAAGGAGAGGGGAAGCAGAGCTCAAATTGTCGGAGTAAATATTTGTAGCTCAGCAGTGTTGGTTCTGGAAAGCAGTGTGTAGGTGAAGCCTTTTTCCCACCCTATTCAATGCTCTTTAAGTGCTATATTAATATTCACTCAGAACTAAGTAAGTAAGCGCTGAATGCAGGTCCAGGAAGCCACGTATGATCTCTTAAGCTTATGTTTCTGAGCCAGGTGTGATGGTGCACACTTTTAATTCCAGCACTGGAGAGGCAGTGGCCAGTAGATCTCAGTAGGGTTTGAGGCCAGCCTGGTCTACAGAGTAGTTTCAGGACAGCCAGGGCTAAGATTCTGTCTCAAAAAAGAAGGAAGGGAGAAGGGGATTATCAGTAAGACAAACTCGGGAAGTAAAATGTCTTGGTGCACAAGCATGATGATCTACCTGAGTTGGAGCCCTGAACCCATAGTGCAAGGAAAGAATCAACTCCTAAAAGTTGCCCTCTGACCTCCACACATGCTAATGTGCACATGCACACATACAATAGACATACATGTTTTTAAAAACAAAATAGTATCAGATGGCTGAGCCCTGGGATTCTTTCACTTCCAGGTAGCCTCCTATGGAGGTGTTTTCTCCCAAAGATAGAATGGACCTCTTATAATCCTACTAGCCTGTCAGTGTGGAAAAGAAAGGGGAAAGGCAATATTTAGAAGGCAGCGGAAGCGTGGGTTTGGTTAATTGGACAATGGTTGACATTCTCTGTCTTGTTTTCCCGCCTCTTCCTTCCCTTTCCTCCCTCTCTTCCTCCTGCTTCTCCATACAGATGTGTCACCAGAAGCTGACCATCTCCTGGTTCGCTGTGGTTCTGTTGGCGTCTCCACTCATGGCCATATGGGAGTTGGAGAAAGACGGTAAGCAATCTTGCCTTGTTTTCTAAGGAGCTCCACATTCTAAGCCTAAGCTCAAGGCAGCTGCTAGGAAAGGAAGCTGAAGGGGACAGCCAGGCACGGGGTCTCCTTGGCAAAGTCTTTCCTCAGGGAAGATACAGGGCTCCATTTCTGGGGTCGGTCTCTGCCTTGTTTGGTTTTTGTGTTGGACGACAGGAAAAGAGCTTCGGGTGAACTGTAATGGCATAGGTGATATAACCTTTGCCTATAATACTAGGAAGCGACTCAGTCAAACAACTGAAAATCCCAAGCAGAGAATTTTAAAAGTAGCAAGATTGTCTTCTGCCCTCCCCTGCTCCTCCATACTACATCGTCCTCTCCATGGGCTCTGTGATAGTTTTCCTCTCACTACTTTGGGATTGAAATTCATATTGACTTGGGTTCAAAACATGGTTCTGCCAGGTATTCATTCTGAAACGTTGAGCTGGATAACCTCATGGCCTCTGTTTTTTTAGTTGGGTGTCAATACTGGCATTGACCACATAGGCTATTGAATATATTAATGAATACAGAAGACAACATATGGTAAAATGAATGTAAATATTAGCAAGCCCTATTGTTTAAAACAAAGTCTCTGAACTTTTCATTATCCTAATACCAATAAGATTATGATCAGACTAATAGTGTTGGGATTGCAAGGAGTGCTCTCTGTCCTTGTGCTGTCTCACACTTAGCAAATGTCCATCAACTCAGTCCTATGAAGTACCTAAAAGAATCTCAAATTTTTCATAAATCCAATGTAATAATGTTGGCAATTTCTGCTTTTATAGCTATACTGTCTTAGTTAGTTTCTATTGATGGGAAGAGACACTATGACCACAGCAACTCTGATAAAGGAAAACATTCAGTTGGGATGGCTTATTTACAGTTCAGAGATTGAGTCCGTTATCATCATGGTAGAACATGGCAGTATGCAGGCAGACATGGTGCTGGAGACGTAGCTGAGAGTCCTACATCTTGGTCCACAGGCAACAGGAAGTAAACTGTCTACCACACTGAGCGTGGCTTAAGTAAAGGAGACCCCAAAGTCCACCCCCACAGCAACACACTTTCTCCAACAAGGCCATGCCTACTCCAACAAAGCCACACCTCCTAATAGTACCACTCCCTTTGGGGGTCATTTTCTTTCAAACCACCTCATGCACTGTAGTAGTATTTAATATTTATTGAACATAGAACTTCATTTAACTTCACAACAACCATATAAAGTAGGAGCTATCAGTATTCCATTTTACAGATTTTGAAAACTGAGGCTCGAGAGATTAACTTGCCCACAAACAGGACTTGAACCCAATTTAGTTTCACTTCAGAGCCTGTGTGTTTAAGTGCTAGAAGATTTTACATGGAGGGTAAGAAGCAACCCTTTCCTGTGCCCGTAAAGAGGAAATGGGCATAAATTAAAAATGAAAAGATTTCTTGACTGATGATTAGAAGTAATATTTTGAGAACCCAGACAGTACAATACCAAAATTGGCACCTAAAAAAAAATTAAGGTTAGTATTTTCATTCTGAAGAGTCGCAGGAGCTAGAAAATGACTTAGCAGGTAAGGGTGCTTGCTGCCAAGTCTGATAACCTGGACTTGATCACTGGGATCTACAAGATAGAAGGAGAGGACCAATTTCTCCAGCTATGGCCCACGCAAGCGCGCATGCGTGTGCACACACACACACACATACACACACACACACACACACACACACACACACACACACACACACACACACACGGAAGAATTAAATGCTATTTTAAAAATAATAATTTCAAGGAGTCTGGCCACCCACCCCAGTAGAATTTTGAACCCTTTCCTAAGTAAAGCCATTGCCACAGCCAGATCTACAACCTGGGGATTGTTAGAGTGCTTAGGAAGGCACAGAGGCACTGGCAGAGTTAACTCCTTCATATCATCACTTCTGACTGGTAAACCACGGAAGTTTCAGAAAATTAATGTGAGAAACACAGAGAAGGCTTCTGATGGAGTCACTGTGTCAGCCTGCAGCCCAGCAGACGCCTAATCTCTGCTTCCAACATCCCCAGAAAGTTCTTTTCCTGCCCTTAAGCCATGGTCTTCCGAGGTTTCTCCATCCAGGTTCTAGCAGGAAAGTAAGCTGCAGTGCCGCTCAGTTGCCTGGAGAAACTGGAGGGTGCCAAGGTTCCTGTGGTTTGGTGTCAGCTCAGGCTAATGATTTCCAAAGCGTTTGGCCTCAAGTGATTTTTACCTCTTATCTTTGCTTCCCACTCAGGGCCTACAAATCCCACTGATGTGAAGTGAGAGTTTTGCATTTCACAATGCTTAGTGTGTGAATGGCCATCACAAAGCCACCATTCATAGGGCACTTGAGGAACTGTCCTAAGCTTGCATACCAATTAGTTTATACGCCACCTTCTAAAGAAAGCACTAATATTTTTACTTTCATTTAAAAAATAATGACATCAGAGCCAGGTATGCCGGTTCAAGCCTGTAATCCCTGAATTTGGTAGGTCAAGGCAAGAAGGCTGCCCTGAGTTTGAGGCCAGCCTGGGCTACAAAATGAAATACTCTAAAGTAAGATGATGACACTAAGACTAAGCTTAAAGTCCCTTCCCACACCCAAGGCTTTCTTGAGGCCTTTGGCTGATTCTGACAGCTGCACCATTCCAAAGCCCCAGCTCCTCACTATTGTGGCTTCCATATTTAATCAGACATCAAGATAATCTAGGCTTACTAATTGGGCCACTAGGGCTATCCCAACACTTCTGACTCAGCAACCAAGAACTCGCATTATGGATGAGTTTCCTGGTGATGCTGATGATGGAAGTTGGGAGCCCACTAAGCTTTGAGAACTGCTGCATTAAGCTATTCTTTCAATTAGTAATAGATATGTGGGTAACCAGATGAATGAAGATTTGATCTGGCACTCTCCAGAATAACTCATGGAGCTATTCTTGAGGACTCATTTAGAAACTGGCATTAGAAATCCATTGAGTAGCACAGGAAACAAAAAAAAAAAAATCTGAAATATAGCTTTTGTTACACTTCGCACCTGGATGGGACCTTGCTTAGCTTTTTGGCATCAGTATCTTCCTTCAAAAAATGAGGAAACTACCATCTACTTATCCAAACTGCTGTAAATTAGCTCTTAATAAATGGCAATTAATGCCCGGGAGGTAGTAATGCTTGCCTTTAATCCCAGCACTAGGGAGGCAGAGGCAGGTTTGTCTCTGTGAGTTCAAGGCCAGCCTGGTCTACAGAGCGAGTTCCAGGACAGACTCCAAAGCTACACAGAGAAACCCTGTTTCAAAAAAAAAAAAAAAAGGAAGGAAGGAAGGAGGGAGGGTAGAAAGGAAGAAAGGAGAAAGAAAGAAAGAAAGAAAGAAAGAAAGAAAGAAAGAAAGAAGGCAATTAATGACAATCTCCACTGATGAGGTTCATGCAGAAGGGAATAAAACCTTAATTCTTCCTGGATAACTTTTAAGAGTTTTTCAGTGCATTTGCCTGACTGTTTGGTCAGTGGATGATAATGGTGGTTATGATGATGATGGTGGTGGTGGTGTACCTAGCACAGAGTGTATTATAGTTATTGGGCTGAGGTGCATGCTTTTTTCCATCTATCTTCACAGCCAAATCTACATGCATGCACACTATTTTTCCCATCATCTTGCAAGGATTCCAAGGCTCCTGGTGGTTCAGGATCTTACCCAAAATCCAATTAGAGGAGACAGGCTTCCTAGTGTGTCTTCCTTCCATACCTACGCTTTAAGCCACTGTGTTTCTCTGCTCAGCACTATACCTAGCCATATTCCCTGTGAACTGCAACTGGAAGTTTATTCCCTACCCCACTGCACCTCCACTCCCCAACCTCTAACAACAAATCTTGTGCTGTTTGCAACTTTATGTTACAAGGTTTTCCCTTTGTGTCTGCTAACCAGAGATTAATTGTAATAGGCCATCTGCCAGTTAATGACTTGGTGGCAGCTATAAAATTGTTTCTCTGTTCTGTGACCTTGAGTCTAGACAGGGTTCCATGCCCTAAGACCATCTCAGCAAGCATTTGCAAAACTCTTGTGATCAGTGATGTGCCCAGGCAGTGGGGATACCAAGACAGTGAATGGAGCCTAGTTCCAGAGTTCATGAGCTGACCATTCAGGTCTTCACTGCTGGTCCTCTCCAGTTTATGTTGTAGAGGTGGACTGGTCCCCTGGTGCCCCCGGAGAAAGAGTGGTCCTCACCTGTGACACTCCTGAAGAAGATGACATCTTCTGGACCTCAGACAAGAGCAGTGAAGTTGTAGGCTCTGGGAAAACCCTGACCATCCAAGTCAAAGAGTTTTCAGATGCTGGCCAATATACCTGCCACAAAGGAGGCGAGACTCTGAGCCACTCACGACTGCTGCTTCACAAGAAGGAAGGTGGAATTTGGTCCACTGATATTTTAAAGGACCAGAAAGGTAATTCCATTCCCTGGGACAGTATCTTTTCTGCTACCTCTCCTCATTTAAAAAAAAAAATAGTGTGTGTATGTGTGTACAGGTACATATGTGTGTACAGGCCAAAGGACAATATTAGGTATTATTCTCAGAAATGCTTCCCATCTCCTTTAAGACAATAACACTCATTGGCCCATAGCTCACCAATAAGCTGGACTGGCTGGCCAGTGGCACCCAGAGATCTTCCTGTCTCTGCCTCCCCAGCTCTGAAAATACCAATACATGACATCACACCTGGCATTCTTCCCTAACTAGGGACTGAACTTGGGTCCTTGTGCTTACAGAGTGACTTTATCAACTTCACTATCTTCAGAGGCCATTTGTCCCTCCCAAGAAATAGAAACATTAAAAGTTGAAAAGGTAGGACATAGTGCAGTTAACAATTAACCATAAGCCCTATCTCCATTTCCCTTGGCTTTCCTGGAATTCTTGGACTCTTGGCCATTAATATCTTTTACTGAGAGAGTTTAGTTGTCTTTCTGAATGCATGTTCTCAAGTTTTCTTTGAATAACAGTGATATTATTGGATATCCGTTAAAAGTTAGCAGTTGATAACCTAGTACTGAGGTGACAACTTGGAAAAAATGAGTATTTCTGTCAAATGGATGTAAAGTTGTGTGCAGTATATCACATTCTCTGGAAGGGGCACCCTATCCAGATATCACCAGTCTGTGCTGAAATATGAGCCAACAGAGCAGCTTTTTCCAATGAAGTTTATGGAAGAATACCAGGTATGGCACGCAGTGTAGTGGCAGAGTGCTTGCCCAGAGTGTGCAAGGACCTATGTTCAATTCTCAGCACCACAGAAAGAAAAAAAGACTACATGTAGCTGGGCAAGGTGGTTTATACCTATTGTCTGCACTTCAGAGGAGGATATGGAGTTCCAGATCCTTCTATACTGTCAGTCCAAGCTAAATGAGACCTTGTCCTAAAAAACCCCACCCTTGTACCATTTAGTGGCCTGTGATTCATCCACAATAAAAATAAATTAAACCCTGATCTTTCTTTAGTAAAAGAAACCGCCTAAATATTGGGTTTTTTTCTTTTCTAATACAGATCCTAAAAATAAGACCTTCCTGAAATGCGAGGCAGCAAATTACTCTGGACGGTTCACCTGCTGGTGGCTGACAGCAGTCAGCACTGACTTAAAGTTCAACATCAAGAGCAGCAGTAGGTAAGGGAGCTGCTCAGGTTTCTCACACTTTGCTAGACCTACTTCACAAAGAAAATGAGTATAGACTGTCCATGGGTTATCGGTGAATGATACTGGACAGCAAAGTCTATTCTATATTTTTTTCACTTTCCCTCGTTTTGCCTAAGGAAGTAACGTGGAGCTTTAAGCTGGCCCTCTGAGAATAGCTGTAGGGTGAGTTTGAATTCACTCATCCAAATTGCCTGGCAGCGTTTCATTAAGGCTCATGGCACCATGGGGAGAAATTAAAAAGAACTCATAGCTACAAATAACTTGCTAAAATTCTACCTTGTGCCAAAAAAACAGAAACAAGTGCTCTAGGGCCTGGCTCTGAGAAGTCCTGAAGCAGATTCCAGAAACCTCTGATACCTTCTGAGATTTTCCTAGAATCTTTTTAACTTCTCTCTGCCTCTCCAACACCACCACTCTGAAGTTCAGTTTGTCCAGCACTCTTGGGCTTTCTCTAAGAAACCATTCCCCAGGGCTGCAGAGCTGTGTCAGGCTGCTCTGCCACTGACTTCAGTTATCAGCTAACTCCCTGAGCCAAGTGAAGAACAGTGGAATAAACACCCTGGCTCTACTACTATTTAAATAAGTAAATTGGGGACTCACTTCCCCATCTTTAATGAATTTGATATGACTTAAACATAACTAGGGAAAATAATGGTTCAGGGTAACATCGGAGTCCTTGCTGCTCATATGAGAATTTTCTGAGCCAGTAAAGGTGGCCCCTAAGTAGACCCACATACATTGCAGGATGCCTAGCGTATAGTAACATGCCAGATCTCTATGTGTTTAAAAACAAAATAAATAAACAAATACATTTTCTTTCTAGAAAAATTCTTGCACAGGTTCATGAAGACACTGACTGGTATATATGTAAGGGACACTGGGATATTTTTCATAATTAGCAAAAAAATGCTCAAATGAAGCATTAATGTGCATTTATTGAAAAGAATAACCCAACTTACATGTTCTGCCTAGAGAACTCCCCACAATACTTTCAGAGAGGAAAAAGATGGTTACAAAATTATATATATATAATTTTCCTGTTTTTTTTAAAGTCATGCTGAAATATAGATAAAAATACCTCTATGTGCAGATATATGTGTATATGGTTACCATGAATACTCACTGAAAAACTCTAGAAAGATGCAAATAATATCTATATATGGGACTCAGATTTGAGTTAAAATGGGGATGGCAGAAGCCTGTATATTTTCTTTATAAACAATTTTGTCATTTTGTTTTGTTGTTGTTTTGTTTGTTTTTTGAGACAGGATTTCTCTGTGTGGCTTTGGAGCCTGTCCTGGAACTTGTTCTATAGACCAGGCTAGCCTTGAACTCACAGAGATCCACCTGCCTCTGCTTCCCATGTGCTGGGATTAAAGGCATGCGCCCATCTTTGTCATTTTAATTCTTTATAATTAGTGCCTATTGGCCTTATGAATGATATAGAGAAAATTTAAATTTTCAGTAAGGGGGCTTAAGTAGGTTCTCTTGCATTGCAACATTTCCATGTCCATTTAGGCCAGAGATACAAGTTTTAGTCTCTTACAGCTAAACTTCCTCTGCTGGAAAGGGCTAGTTTGGGGCAGGGGTGTTTTGTTTTGTTTTTTACCCCAGAGGATAAATCTAACCAGCTACACAGTCTGTTCTCAGACAGACTATAGTCACCAGGCACTTGCTTTCTGATCTGTAACACAGAACAATTTCTCTCTTGGCCATCAGCTCCTCTGATTCCCGAGCAGTGACATGTGGAGCAGCATCTCTGTCTGCAGAGAAGGTCACGGTGGACAACAGGAACTATAAGAGGTGTTCCATGGCCTGCCAGGAGGACATCACCTGCCCGGCTGCCGAGGAGACTGTGCCCATTGAGCTGGTGATGGAGGCACAGCACAAGTATAAATATGAGAACTACAGCACCGGCTTCTTCATCCGGGACATCAGTGAGTTATGTGGGGAGCACGTGCCTGGGAAGCAAAGATGCTGTTTGCCACATAGGGTATAGGATTGACCTGCAGTTTGTTTTGTTTTTTTTTATTCTGCACCTCCTGAAAGACATGATATAATCACTATTGTCTGCATTTTGCAGAGGAGGAAACTGAAAGATTAAGCCTCCTTTCCCTAGATCTCCAGTCTCACTGCTGGCAGCCCAGACCCTGATCTCCCTCATGTAGCAGGCATTTTGTGACATATCTAATCTGCTACCCAGATAGATGAATGGTGGATCCGAGAGTCAGTGGGTTATCTACACTGTGACCAGAACTTCCCTACCAATTGCAGTTTTCAGAACTCATTTTTCTCCAGCACCAACATATAAGTGTATAGCTATAAATTCTAAATGGACAGACATAGAGAGTTTGTCATTTCTCATTTCCTTTACCTCATATTCATGGAATGGTCATCCTGATAGGATGTGATGAGATCAGAGAACTTGATGCAGAATTTACAGAAAGTCTGTAGTTGGTAGGAGTGGGTCTTGTTCACGGGGGATGGCCAGGGAAGTACCCTCTGAGGACATGACATTTGGCAAAGGCCTAAAGCAAAGATGTTGGTTGTATTATTTTTACATTATTATTGTTCATAGTACTAACAAAACTATGAAGAGTATTTGTGAAGCATCTACAAGGAAAATGTAGTCATTGTGTGAAATGGAGCGAGGCTTCCTAAACTGGAGCAGACTCTAAAGATGTCTCTCCATCTAGAAGAAAGTGCCACTTGAAGACCATGATACTCACAGTATCCTCAGACAGACTCCAGTAGTGGCACCTGATAGACTGTTAAGTCTTGAGCCAGCCTCATGCTTAGTGCAAAAGGTATCTCTGCAGAGCCCAGAATGACTTTATTAAGCAGAACGACTCAACTATCAGGGCCTGCCAGTCTGTGCAGTGAAGAAAATGTTCAAAAATGTAGGATGTGGCCAATAACGTGACATCCTCACATTTGGAAGAAGCATCCTCAGCAGAGGTACCTCACAGGTGCTTCCCAGGTGGGCAGAGAAGTGGAGGAGCTATAGAGACTGGAAGGTGGAAGGACCAGTCATCCAAGATCAGAAGGCTAAACCCAGGTTCCAAAGCCCGGCAGGATAATAAAGGATGTTTGTCTTCTGCAGTCAAACCAGACCCGCCCAAGAATCTGCAGCTGAAACCTTTGAAGGGCTCTCAGATGGAATTATCCTGGGAGTATCCTGACTCCTGGAGCACTCCCCATTCCTACTTCTCTCTCAAGTTCCATGTTCAGGTCCGTCGCAAGAAAGAAAAGGTAAGGAGGGAGCACAGGTGCAGTCTACTCAGGCCGGATTTATGCAGCCCATGTTGGGGACAACATGATGATCCTAACAACCAGGCACATGTTACAGGACTAGAACTGTGCTAAGAGGTCTCTGTGTGTATCACACACAACCCACATGAAGATCCAAAGGCAGCAAGTATTACTGTCACCTCTTCTCAGAGGACAGTGAAGCTCAGAGAGGCTATGACTTGTCCAAGTTCAACCAGTTAGAGCAGTGACAGAACCAGGACCCAGCATCAGTCTGCTGGACACAAAGATTGTGACCCCAACCACCCCACTTCCTCCAGGGTAGTTGAGGGTCAATCCTCAACTAAAATTGTCAATAATATAGAGATCTGGGTTCCAGGAGCCTAAAATGATTGTGTCAACTGAGTGACTATAATAAATGCTAGAACACTGGTGGTGTGTCTCACACAGTATGGATACTCCCTATTTGTTTAAAATACAGTGCAATTATTTCACCAAGCAAGGTGCCTGCACTTATACAGGTTAACATGGCTTTCCAGCCCTCTGGCCCTTAACACAGTGATCTCTTACAAGGTTTTTTGGACAGTTTTACAGAGCTGTTTAACAAATCAAAGACTTTTTCCTACATAGCATTTAGAATGTGGTGACAATTCAGCTCAGAGATTCAATCACTCTCTAAAAGCAGGAGAAGAAAATGAGGTGATTTAGAAACAGATTTTAACTGTTTAATGTTGAATGCTTTCTACTTGTTAGAAGCTTTCTAGGCATTTTTACACAAATACCATATTAACCTGCTACAATTCTTAGAGGCAGGCATTATCATGGGCCCCATTCATAAATAAGGAGAGATACAGAGAGCCAAAGACATGTTCCTGAAGCCCCACAGCTGTTTAGTAGGCACTGCCAGGATTTAAAGTCACATTTGTAAGCTGACAGGCACAGGGAACGGTATTTCAAGTCACATTTGTAAGCTGACAGGCACAGGGGACAGTATTTCTGGACAGCCGGAAGACAGCTAAGAAAGGTTGGCCCCACCATTATTAGCCTTATACTAGAGTCATTGTCCGTGGAGCCTTTGGACAAGGATGCTATTTGGAGAGACAGAAGGAGGAGCCAGTCATTTCTGTTGGAGTATACTAAATAGAAAAGTAAGGCCCAGGAAGATGGATGAGTCAGTGAAGTGCTTTCCTAGATTCTAACTCCCAGAAACTATGTAAAAGCTGGTGTAATGCTTACAACCCTGTCATTGGAGCACAGTGGGAGACACACACACACACACACACACACACACACACACACACACACCTGTGTTTACAGCTTCTGCCAGCAGGGGGTGCAAGGGTAGCATCCTAAGACAACACTATGTTTAAGGAGGTCATGTTCTGCAGGAACATGCCATCCTGCCTTGTATTGCCTAAAGCCCTTACGTTTTCCACTCCTTTGCAGAAAGATGAGTCCCAGTTTGTAGACAAGACCTCTGCTGAAATCCGATGCAACAAAGGTGCAGAGGTCCGTGTGCGAGCTCAGGATCACTACTACAATTCATTCTGGAGCAAATGGGTATCTGTGCCCTGCAGTTAGGTGAGCAGGTCCATGAATCCCAGCCACACCTGCACATTCAGTGGTCCTGATGGAGGACAACAATGGGGTGGGGGAGCTTTTGAGGGAAGGGGATGGAGTTCCTAGCATAGGGATACCAGAGTCAGAAACACATGTGTTCAATACCAGATATTAACTTAATGTCTATGTTAGTTCTTCAGGCACTGTCCTGGGCCCACGGATATTGCAATAAAGAAAACAGGCATGGGTCCTATCCTTGTATGGGGAAAGACAAGGGAGACCAGATTGGGAGGAAACCAAGAGTCAGGAGTCAAAGTCAGGAGGACTTGGGATTGGACAGAAGGTAGAACCTTCTCCTAGGGGTTCTGGAGACCACTTCAGTGGTTTTACTAAGGAATTGGCCCAATCATATGCCCTTTTAAGAAAAACCTCTCAAGAGAGTCCCTGGCAAGCATGAGACTAGCTGAATTCTTAACCCTGTAAGGAAGGGCTGGGCCTTTGCACATGGAAACCCCAAGACCCAATGACTGAGGAGAATGTGTGCTGAGAAACAAAAGTCTACACTTCTGACTCATGTAGACTTACCCACATTCCTTTGCAGGGTCCAATCCCAGGATGCAACTGTGAAAGAAGAAAAAAATGGAAGACTTTAAGAAAGAAAGTTTAAACTCATGATGGAAGAGGCCCCCAAAGCCATTTTCTACTTGATTAGCTTTTTCCAGTTTTTTAGATTCATAATGATACCTTTGCTATATTTCTACATTTAAATGTTAAATGCCCACTGAGACAATGAGCTAATTTATGTATAGATATTTTAACACTCTACTTGGCCTTATGCTATTTAAATATTTAAGTAATTTATGTATTTATTAATTTATTTCTGTATTTAACATTTGTATACCAAGATGTATTGAATATTTCATGTTCTCATGGGCTGATCCACAGGAACCAGGCCCTATTATGCAAAGTGTGAACTTATCTTTTTCAACAATTTTTCAACCAAGGCTGCACAGGTACATTGACTTTTGTGATAACTAATAAGACCATAATATTCTGACACAAGTAGTGTTGTATATTTGTGACCAGTGAAGACACAGAGGTTATCCATAAAAAGTTATGAAGGGACTCTGAAGAAGTCAATGATGACTACCTAGCAGTGGTACTGATAAGAAACAAAGACCACCTGTGCTTCTATTAGGCTTCTGGTACCTAAATTTAAAAGAATTTTTAAATCCAGGTTTGAAGATATCTCTCAGATGGTGGATTGCTTGCCTAGCATTCATGAAGCCCTGGGTTTGGTCCCCAGCGCTGTATAAACTAAGCATGTGGTGCACACCTTAATCCTAGCACTAGGTAGATAGAGGTAGAAAATTCAGAACTTCAACATCATCCTCATCTGCATATCAAGTCCAAGGCCAGCCTGGACTACCAGATATACTACCTCAATAAGAAGGGAAGGAGAGAGGGGATGGAGAGAGTTAGCTAGTTACCTCTTTGGTAACCACCTCCAGCACACCTAAAAAGAAGAGAAGGAGCTCTGGGAATTTTAGAAGAAGCATATGTGTAGTTGTGTCTAAAGGACATAAAATCCAGAGCCATACAAATGGATGCAAAGAAAGCCATGCAGAATCACTGTCTGATCAGCCTGTTGATGAACCTGAGTGAACCTAAGGTGCAGCTATGACCAGACAGGATCCATCATGCCAGGAATGTACTATCACTATATAATAATGACTATGCTTCTTGTAATGGTTGTCTTTGTTTATTTATTATTTATTTATTTATTTATGCCTTCTGAGACCAAACGAATAAAAACTCTTCTTTGCAGTCATGGTTTTATACTTTCTCAACTGAGTTAGGCATTCCAGTTCCAAGCCTATTTGGGTGCATCCTGCCCCTCACCCCACCCCAGCCCCATCATCTAAGAACTGCTTCTTCTTGAAGTGATTTCATCTCCAATTGTGCTGAGTCGCTCTTTCCGTTTATAGTATTTTGAGCATCGGTGCCTTGCTGAGCTCAGGGAAGATCCCAGCAGGCTTCACAGCAGGGACTCCACTGGGGCACAAGATTGCACTGTGCCCTCTTTAGGGATTTGCCGCTCTGCTCTGTCATCAATCCTGAGATGAGACTCTGATTCCTCCCTTGTCTTAGTTTGCTTAGTGCTGTGACAAACCACCACAACCAAAAGCAATTTGGGGAGGAAAGGGTTTATGGGAGCTTATAGCTCCATTGTGAAGGGGAGTCAAGATAGGAACTGAAGCAGAGGCCATGCAGGAGCACTGATTACTGGCTTACTCTTCCTGGCTTGTTCAGTTTGCTTTCTTATACAAGTCAGGACTATTTGCCCAGGGATAGCATTGTCCATAGTAATTTGTGCTCTTCCACATCAGAAATCAATGAAGAAAATGCCCACAGGCTTGCCCCTAGGCCAAAGTGCCCTAGATATTTTCAGGGGTTTTTTTTTCCTTATTTGTTTGTTTGTTTGCTTGTTTGTTTAATATCCCAGGCATAGTTTCCTTTCCCTTCTTTCCTCCTAGTCTCTATCTCACCCCTCTATTCCCAACCTTTAACCCACTCCTCCATTTCTGCTTAGGAAAAGGCAGGTCTCCTATGAGTATCAACAAAACAGGGCATATCTAGTTGCAGTAAGACTAAGCACCTCACCATTTATTAAAGCTGGTCAAGGTGACCCAGTATGAGGAGTAGGGTCCCAAAAGCCAGTAAGCAGTTGCAGAGAGCCCCTGTTCCCAACTGTTAGGAGCCCCAAAAGAAGACCAAACTACACAACTATAACATATGATCAGGGTGCCTAGGTCAGTCCCATGAAGGCTCCCTGGTTGTTGGTTCAGTCTCTGTGAGCCCCTGTGAGCCCAGGTTAGTTGTTTCTGCAGGTTTTCTTGTGGTGTCCTTGACCCCTCTAGCTCCTACAATCCGTTCCCCGCGTCTTCTGCAAAATTGCCCAAATTCTGCCTAATGTTTGGCTGTGGGTCTGCATCTGTTTCTATCAGTTGCTGGATGAAACCTCTCTGATGACAATTGGGCTAGACACCAATTTGGTCATTAGAGTTGGCCAGTTCAGGCTGTTTATCCATTATTACTAGGAGTCTTAGCTGGGACTAAGATTCCTTGTGCCAGGTTTTTACCTGATCCCCAAATGCCTTTCCACTAGTCTCTTTCAGTACTCTCTTCCCTGCTACCCTTCAACCTAATCACTCATGTTCCCATCCCCACTCACCCTCAGTCCACTCAAGAAATCTTTTCTATTTCCTCTTCCCAGGGAAATGCAGGAGTCCCTCCCACCCCCATGAACCTTCCTTATTATCTAGTCTCTCTGAGTCTATGGATTGTAGCATGTTTATCCTTTATTTTACAGTTACTATCTACCAATAAGTGAATTCATACCACGTTTTTCCTTCTCAGTCTGGTACCTCACTCAGAATGATGTTTTCTAGTTCCATCCACTTGCCTTCAAGTTTCCTGGTGTCCTGAATTTTAACAGCTAGTATTATTCCATTGTATAAATGTATCATGTTTTTTATCTACTCCTCAGTTGAGGGGCTTCTAGGTTGTTTAATGGTTATGGATATTACAATAAAGCTATGAACATAGTTGAGAAAGTATCCTTTTGGTATGATTGTATAGTGGGAAATTACCAATACAGAGCCAAGTAGAAATATAAGGGTATTTAATAGGGAAAAGCCTTACTTACAGAGCGACCTAGCCAGCTGGCATGGCATCAGTCTGTACGCCAAGCCAAAAAGGGGGGTCCAAACTGAAAGCGAAATTCAGCCAACTCAAACTCTTACACTACGTCACCCTGACCACGCCCTCACAGGTGTGGCTACAGGTTCCCCTACAAGATTGAGCATCCTTTGGGTATATGCCCAAGAGTGGTATAGGTGAGTCTTGAGGTAGGTTGATTCCCAGTTTTCTGATGAACCACCACACCAGCTTCCAAAGTGGCTGTACAAGTTTGTACCAGCAATGGCGGAGTGTTCCCCTCACCCACATCCTCTCCAGCATGATCTGTCACTTGTGTTTTTGACCTTGGCCATTCTGACAGATGTAAGATGGAATCTCAGAATCATTTTGATTTGCACTTCCCTGATGGCTAAGGATATTGAAATTTTCCTAAAGTGTTTCTCAGCCAGGGATGTTTTCTTAGCTGAGGTTCCCTCTTCTCAGATGACTCTAGCAAGCTGACAAAAAACTAGCCAACACATCCCCACACCATGAAAGAGAACTCTATCTCTAAATGAGATGGATGAGCCTTGTTCAACTCATTTCGCCATTTCATCCATTTAGCTCCAATATTTACTGAGGATCTGTATCATGTCTGGATGTCCGTTAGCCCTTAGTGTTTGGGGTTTCCAATGAACCTCACGTCATTTTCCCTTCGGAGTGCCCATTTCTGACATTAATTATAAAATAAGACCAAACATGTTTAATCCCACTGAGAGCTGAGATGCTCACTGTATATGCTGTCCCACTGTATATGATCTTGACAAACAGGACAGAAAAGAGAAATCAGCTTTCTTTACAAAATGGGCAGGGCCTATCTAGTTCTCCTAGTGACTCCTATGGAAAGAGTAAGTGGCAAACTCAGAAAGAATGGAGATCAACTGCTATTCTGAAAACCCAGCTGTGCACATCTGGGATTCTTTGCAATGGCAGGTGGATTTGGAGTAGAGTTATTTGCCTAGAGTCCAGGTTATGCTTTCCAGAAGAGTGGGAGGGAGTTTCTGCCTTTCTATTCAAGCCACTGAAGTACAACATCCTGTTATGAGCCCACACTTGACAGCAGGGGACAGCTTCTAACACCTGTTGATCTTCCTACAAAGTCTTTCATCCATTGATACCAAAACATTAAGTAGGAACTAGATGAACAATGATAGGAAAATAATAGTTACATTTTATAAGCACAGAGACCTGAGGATGTTTCACCAAACTTCCAGCAGACTTAGGGAAGGCTTGACTGTTCTGGCCCTCCCCACACAGTTGCTTTTCTGACATGGCCTCTT